ATATATATATATATATATATATATATATATATATATATAAAAATACAAAATTACCTCATATGGGTATAGACTATATATATATATATATATATATATATATATCAAAAATACAAAATTACCTCATGTGGGTATAGTCTATTTCAGATCGGCATAACAATGACAATCTTCATCGGCCCTGAATGCCTTTTGGAAACTAATATATAGTGTAACCCGGATATAACAGAGGTGTCGGAACCGGAGAAGAAGTCTCTTATATCCGGGTTTCTCTTATATCCGGGTTTGGTCTATTTTATATACATTAACACAGGCTCTAATTTGTGACCAGAGAAAATCTCTCTTATATCCGGGTTTCTCTTATATCCGAGTCTCTTATATCCGGGTTACACTATATATATATATATATATATATATATATTTCTATTGTACGCATACATATGTAATACATTATATTTCTATTGTGCACATTATATATGTAATACAATATTTTTAATATATATACATATATATATATATATATATATTAAAAATATAACATATATACATATATATGTCTACAACAGATATATGTTTGTGTGTCTGTATGTGATTTTGTGTGCGTGTGTGTGTGACAAAAATATAGTTTTAAGTTATGCTATATTATAAGTGCGGAATATCAAGGATATAGTTTATGGAAATATAAATGTGGACATTGGGATCAACACCCACTGGCGACATTCTGTTTAATGTTTAAACGCAAATTTCAGGTCTAAAGATTGCATTTACATCCTTGCCGAAAATGCTTCACGTTAACTGTTTGTACGATTCACATCTCTTTGACTGTATTGATATAGATATTATATCTTATATAATTTCAGCACAACGTTTTTTTCATAAAACTTTGTTCTATCCATGTATGTTTGAATATATTATCAGTTCAGTTATGCGCCATTTGTGATACACGCTTAGGCGATCATGTATCTTTCGAGATTTGACTAATGCTTTTTTCCTCCATTTGGTTGCCATTTCATTCTGCGCTAGACTAGTTGCCATGTGGTCTATCCTGCTATTTACCCAGTGAGAGGGTGAGATGAGGATTCATACCTTTCCCAAGGGTATTAGCACGTAAGTTAATGTAATGGAATCGACTGGAATTCGAACTCGGCTCTCCGCTTCCTCAATCCTATCGTCTTTCCATTACCCTACTATTAATACATAATAGGGCTTTTTCCACACATCCATTTTCCTTATCATATTAGTAAAGAAACCAGGAGCGATATATGAACTACAAAAACTTTTTACAGATTAGCAATTCTTGATGATATAAATTTTGGTTTTGCGTTGGAAACGCATTTTTTCTGACGCTAAATCATTGGCAGAACATGTCAAGATGTGTATTTCTTAGTGTGTGTGTGTGTTGGCTTATATTTTTACCGTTCCGTCGGATTCTCATCGATATTTACACAGATACAAGCAAACACAATAATGTATGTTGGAGAGAAATTCTAAGATTTAAATTATCAAATACGAGAGAGAATGAATATCTTGTTACTTTTATGCCGTCATACAACAGAATGAAGGTCTGGTTTACGACTGTGCAGTGATATCAGCCCAGACGTTTATCGTCGGTTCTAAAGCTTTCCACCATATTCTGGACACCACCGGTAACGGGACAAGATGAGTTGATTTTGTGCTTTTCTTGCCAGCTAATGAAAACTAATATGGTTCAGACCTGAGGATGACCCGGAAATGTTCGAAACTACTAGAACTGGCGAAAAAAAAAAAATGTCCCATTTCTGCACAGATTTTAAGGAAATTTTATCCCCAAACAAGAAAAGCTGAATAATTTTTTTTTTTTAAAGTTGTCATTGCGTGTCGAATTCAGTAAGACACTCTCTGTCACACACACACTTCCACACACACGCACGCGCGAGCACACACACACATACAGATAGATAGATAGATAGATAGATAGATAGATAGATAGATAGATAGATAGATAGATAGATAGGAGGAATGAGTAATTAATTAATTGTGGAGTAATGGATAGCGATTGAAGAATCTGAGAGCAGAGATCAAATTCCAGTCGAATTTATTACGTTCGCTTACGTGATATAGAGATGGATAATACGGTTTGTTCCTGAGGATAACGACGAAATGCTCGAAACCATTAGAACTGATGGTGAAAATACTGTACGATTCCATCTCGTGACCCCAACTTCACTGCCGCCACCATGGCTAATATCGGGGTCCTATGGCTTGGATAGCCACCGGTCTAGGACAAGAACAAGTCTAAATTCAAAACATCTGAGGAGGACCGTTTCTGCACAAGACGTCACCACCAGACCATACTTACGGGCTTGTTTGGTTCTAACAACTGAGCGGCTCTACGTTCACCTGTTGAATACGATGGGAGATTCCTCCACACACAAACACACACACACACACACAAAAACACATACACAAACACACATATATATATATATATATATATATATATATATAGATAGATAGATAGATAGAT